ACTAGAATATCCGTTGCATCTTTCAACATGCTGCCAATGCTCGTTAAGGAACTACGATAGTCGTAGTTGATTGGTTAGTTCTATCGATTGACCTAATTATTTCATTTGAAATAGTAATCAACTTTGATATGAAGCAACAACGTTTGCAACGTTTGCATTGTGGGTTGAATATCTGTTTACTGTATCGCATTGCTATGAAGAAAACTAGTGGTATAGGTTATAATATATCGGTCACATTATATGTGGTTTAGAGATGATAAGGACAAATAGCTGGCCGGAGAATATGAAAAAGAAGTTTAAGTTTATAAGATATATAAGTAGGACGATGAGTAAGCGGTATAAAGAAACTCATTGTTTGGACGCTAGTGATGAAAAACATTAAAGACTAGTAAAATATAGACTAGAAGTGACTCACAGTTATTTAGGATGGTTTCTGAGCTTCTTATGATTGGATAGTTTTCGATTTTTCGCCTGAACATTATCTAGTTTCATCAAGTTTTAATGGGTCGTGGTCCAAGGCATTTCTAGGGCCCAATGTGTGCAACATCATTGCAAGACATCAACGTTGATGTTCTATGTGGAAATGATTGGGGGCCTACTATAGTTAGACGAGAATGGTGACGAACCAACTAACGTTGAAATCACACCTCGCCACCAGCCCTTACGTGGATTGAACCATCGACGCATCAAAGGATCATGGACGCTATGGAGACTGTACAACACAAAGGACGTTATTACAAGAATATATTAGTTAAGGTACAAACACGAAGATGCAGAAGTGAAAGAAACAACCACTGCCGCGTGGGCAGTCCATGGCATATAATTGATTGATGAGCGTTGACTATTCGTGACTTTGACAGGGATTGATGATCTGTTCTATATTCAAAGACATTTCACCGACCCTACAACATAAATGAATATGGAGATGAAAAGAAAATCCAAGAATCGTTGTTTCTTAATAGTTATAAAAAGGGAATACGGAGCATACAATAAAAGAAAACGAATAAAGCACTGTTTGGTCTGCCACATTTGCACGACCGATCGTTACGGAATCCGGTCTGTTGATCTCGAACTTGGGCATCTACTGAATTTTTCATCCAGTTCAGTGACACTTTGTTGAAAACTTTTCCAGTGTGTCTGTGATACCTGTTCTTCCTCCCAAATCTTCCTGAACAGAACGTGAAGCATTTAAGCAGTTGCTTCTATGTCTGACTTTTGTGCTCCCGATAGTATATTGTCGTGTCCATCTGATTTTTCACTTGTTTTCTTATTTGCTTCAGTGTATTCAGCTTGTGCCTTGACTTTCTCTTTTCTTTTTTGGCTATTGGTAATTACTATTTTCTTGTTCTTCCTTTCTTGAACCTTGTCTGGGGTTTCCACAGGAATCCATTCCTTATGATGATGATGCTTATCGCGACCCAGAACCTCCTGACACGTTAAAGTTAGTGCTCATTTGATCCATTTCCAGTTGTCCTCCATAGCAGTTTCTTCTTCTTTAAGTAGATCCTGTAGGGCTTGTAACGTGTTGTTGAGAGTTATCTTGAAGTGGTTGAGTTTGTTAGTATCTGGGAAAAGGGCTGTATTAAACCTTTTACACTGCTGTTTCTCTAGTTGTCCAGTGTTTCTTTAATTTCAGTTTCATCTTGACCACAACCAGGTGGTGATCTGAAGCTATGTCAGCTCCTATCCTGGTTCTCACATCTTCCACTGTCCTTTGGAATCTTTTGTTGATACAAATATGATCTATCTGGTTCTCTGTGGTGTGGTCCAGTAAGACCCATGTAGCTTTGTGTATGCGTTTGTGAAGGAACATTGTGCCGCCTATAACCATTTTGTTGAATGCACGCAGATTTGCAAATCTCTTCCCTTTATCATCTCTTTCTCCTAGTCCATGTCGTTCTATTATATCTTCATATCGTGTGTTGTCCACTACAATTAAGGCTTTTAGATCTCCCATCGGGATGGTGAGGTCCTTTCTTGGGCACTAAGCTACGTTAGATTGAAGCCTCGAGTAGATCTGATCTTTATCGTCGTTGCCATCATTGGTGGGTGTATAACACTGGACAACATTCATCACGTTTCCCTCCTTTGTTTTGAAGGATGCTCAGGAAAGGTTGGATAAAGAGCGCTGGTGGGCGATCTAAGCTCTTCGATTGGGGGTAACAGGCGTAGGTAAAGTAAGATTCCATTTGTTTTGAAGGATGCTTTGATGGTCCTGGATCCGTGAGATTCCCATCCCATGCGCTTATTTGAACAGCGTCAGAGCAAATCCCTGAGTTTGTGGAGTATTTTCCTGTTTGTAATCAGAGTACGTGAGCATCTCTCTCGAACATAACCTTTGCTGTCCAGTTTTGGTCCAAAGTGTTTCACTGATTTCGAGAACCGCCAATTTATATATTACCATTTCCGTTGCAATTTGACTGGTCCTCCTGGTCTCCCACATTGTCCGGTCGTTCCATGTACCTATAATATTTTTTACTGTGGTTGTTAGAAAGGACATCGGCCTCATGACGTCGGAAGAATTTCAGCTCTCGTAATGGGGCGTGATAATTCTTCTGAATGAAGATGCTTCAACTCGGAGGGCAGAGTTTAAATGATTTAAATTGTTTATTCTAGTTAGAGTTTATTTTAAGCATGGGATGGGATTGCTGACCTCACGCCTAACTCTCTTCGTTTGTGTGGATTTGGGACCGGCAATAGCTCTAGGAGAGGTACAAGCTGAGTTTTGGTTTCCACACTTAACATCTAATTTTTCTGGGACTGTTGTTTTTGTTTTAAGGCAGTTGAACTCTGACCAATATCATGGACTCCAATGTATGCATGATTGACGACTTTTCCGATCTTAAGGATCTAGTTGAGAAGTCCCGTAATGTTGAGGTAAGTAATATTGGAGTTTTGAATAAAATTGATTTTACAGGCAGATGTATTTGATGAAATCAAGGACTTACTTGCTAGAAGAAGTGAAATAGATACATATATATATATATATATATATATGCAAATGAAACCGGACAGTGAGAAAACTACTAGTTTAGAACGATGATATTTTAAAGTGGAAAACAGGCTTACCCGCTGATAGACGCGAGATAAGAGAAATTATGTCTTTCTCCATACTTTGATGAATCGCTTAAAAAGTGGTTGTGAATTGTTACTTCAACTTCTCTGCTTGTGTTTTGATTGAAAGTAGAGAAAGCTTTCCAATAGTCTGTAACTACATGCGTAACGTGAGGTCCTGGTCAGCAAATTATATGAAAGTGGGAAGACTACTTATTCCAGTCATGATGAAGGACCATTTAGAAATACGCCTTAGGTAGTCACTATACTTCATATCGGAACAGTAAATGAAGAGCCTAACAATGTAAAAGCAATAGATGCTAAAATGATTCCAGTATTAGACGAAGTAAGTGGCTAAAGGTATCTATCTTAAAATCAGAATTTAGAGATAAATAGGAAATAAATTGATCTTTGTTGTTAAGTCCTATTTTGAGCTACGTTTATTCGAGTTCTTAAACCGTTGACCACGATTATCTAGAGAACCTCGACCAATAATTCAATAACTGTCAATAACGACTTAGATAAATGATTTCGTGATAGCTTTTAGCCTTTCAACCTACCCCTAGATCGCTCGGCGTTAAACATCAGGATATGACTTAACTAGAGTCTGCATAACGTGTGTCTCAAAAACTTATAAGTTTAAGATGGTTTAGAAAGCACAGTTCTATTTTTCGTCATCATATGAAAACTTAGTATACATTGGCTATTTGTTCTCGCCACTTTCGTTTAACTTCTGTATATGTTGACGGTGTGACGCTTATTGCCCATTTCTTGGAGATTGCTGTAATCTAACTGTAGTGTCAGTCGAACAATATTCCGTTAAGCAGAAGTGATAAAAAGTGGGACATTTCCAAATACTTCAATAGTGAATCAGTGGCTTATTGGTTTGAACATTAAGCTATCAACCAATGTAGGGTAGGTTTGAAATCCGAATTCTGTGTTTTGAGCATTCAAATATTATGACTAGTTGTTGTAAAACATGACTGAAAGCCGAGTATAGCTGATGAGTCACAATAATAATATAATCATTATAAAGTCTAAAGTTGAGAAACGAGACGTAGTTAAATGTATACTTCACACCTTTCAAATGTATGGTGGAGGTCTCCGTCGGTCACAACCTAGAACCTGGGCCTTTGTACATCGGTTCAAGTTCGCATACCCTATCATCACTGAGAGATGAAATTTTCAGACCAAATCCCAGAATAGTAGAGGTAGTTACCGCACCAAAGATACGATTCAATAGGAAAATATAAAATAGTTAAATAAAACCAAGGGAGTTTTGAGGAATTTGGAATCTCAGAATTTGGGGGAAGACAGAGAACGGATGCAACTGCGCCATTGCAAACAATTTTGAACCATGTCATTCAAAGTCTATAACCATTGGCTACTATAATCACACGTATGCCAACACAGTAGACTATACCTATTAAAATGAGTAAATCCAAATGTTGACCCCAAATGCTCCGGTACGGCCGAGAGTGGGGAGAGTCCGCTCTCCCTCCCAAAATGCTCTCACATGACCACGCGTATATAGCCTGTGTCAGGGAAGTCCTACTCACTGCCTTCTCGCGGCATTCCCGTTTACGAAATTGAGAGGACGAAAAGTGAATGTCCGGCGCTGTAAACGGGTTGGTGGACACGGAAAGTTTACATAGGGGAATTGGAAAACCTTGATTACAAACCAATGGTGCACATGGGCTTCAATATCCTGAAGGAACAAATGGCGTATGAACCAATTGTTGGTCACCGGCTACCATGGGACTGCATCTCCTTACAATGATCCACTGCCTTGTGGATCAGACTTTTAAGTCGATGGCTCCGGGTATGGCCCCCTAAGAAAACCACCTGTTTGGGTCTGGGTACTCAGTCAGTATCATAGCCGTCACACAATTAGGTGAAATGACGTTTTTTGTGTGGCGCATATGTATCTAGTGCCACTTGTACTAATATTTATGTGTTCAAATAAATAAGTTCAAATCTTAATAACTTCATGGATTGATTCTATGTCTTGGTTTGACAGCCCCCAGCCTTCCAGCCTACTCGTACACCTATATACGTAACGTTTCTCTCAATCTCCTCACTTGATGATAATTTACTACCTCATTAATCGACTTGTTATTCTTACCTAGTACCGTATTCCTAACTCAGACATTGCTTATTCCGTGGTCCCAAAATACGCGAGCAATGCTTCGAAAATACCTATGATTTGATGCTTGTAACCTACAAATATCCTTTATTTTTGATGGCCATGATGGTGATCTGACTAACTGGAAACCAATAAAGTGACTAAGGAGTTACGATTTAGTAATAATCAACATAGAACTTGGCGCAAATGTGATTTAGCTCAGGTTAGGATTCCATGGAAGCGCAACAAGATGAAATAAACGGAAAAGTAGCAAATGTATCGAAATAATAGTAATATCAGCTTTAATGAAGGGCTAAAATTTCAGAGTATACTTCAAAAACGAGGGACGAACTAAAGACATGTTTAAGTGAATATCAAAACTGAATAGAAGGTAAATGTATCTATACTGCTATTCATTTCTAAATCACGTCACACACTTGAAGTACCCCTAAATAAACGGGTATATACGTCTTTTTAAGCCAATTTGACAATATATTAATATGGGAAGCCAACATATTGAAAAATATCTCCGAACGTCAAGCTCCATGAACTATCTAATATAATGACAGACAGATGTCACTCAACATACACATACTGTATTTTTTCTGATTTTACGAATCTTATCAAATATTTCCTGTTGTAGTTGTCAATCTCCGATTTTTAATGGTCTCTTGTTTCTGATGGTCATTAATGATGATCTAAACAAAATACTTTATAGATAATGCTGATAACAATCCATTGACAACTCTGGATGACAGTCGACAAATTCTTGTGAAGATGGCAGTTGAGAAATTCGATGAATATGTTTGGAAACGAGATGAAAAGAATATAGTATATTTATTAAAGATATTTTTCTTATTGGGCGAAACCAATGAAGGAATTCGTCGATTTTCTATATATCTTTGCTCATACATTTCAAATAAATGTGAACTATTGATAACTACTAATAAATCGTCTTCACAAACATCGGAATTTGTATCGGCTAATTTAATCACAGAAATTCTAGAGTTGCTGATACATTGAAAAATAATTCAATGTACGCCGAAACATACTGTGGTAAGTATAAAATTTTTTATTGTCATTTAAAGAAACAAGAAGATTTGTGCAAAAGCTAATTTTTCTGACTTTCTAATGTGATATGTTTTTTGCAAGGGGAAAAAAGTATTTCAGTGTTAAGAACTTGTAAAATACCGGTCTAGTCTGAGCCATGTTAGTAGAGGCAGACTACTTGGTTAGGGTCCGCGTGACTATCGTAACCAAATGGGTGGAGACTCCAGGTGACATGGCTCAGAATCGATCACAATTGCGTAGGTGTATACACTCGTCATTTTCTCTTCAACCTTGAGATTAAAATTGCTTCATAACGTTCTTCCTTCCTGTACTATATCCTTATATACAATCTTTCTTTTATATATTACCACCACTAAATTAACTACTTCTATGAATCCGGTGTTCATCTTGTTGTGCTAATGATGTATGGCAACTTGGACCGATGCATAAATGTGCCTGGTTTTACGTTGTAGCTGACTGACTGACTGACTGTAAAATACCGGTTATTATGGTTGCAAAATATGGTTTATTCATCTTCCTGTACCCTCTTCCATATGACGAAATAATTTTGATTCGAGTTAACTGTTGGAAGCAAATAATATATTACTAAATTGAAATTGACTAGATTGGCTTCACCAGATCAGTCATCTTAGTTATTAAACCATAAAGTGTAAGGTTAGTGGTGGTTCGTTCTCTAGGTCCTAGTTTGAAAAAAAGCATACAACTATTAATGTTATTATTCTTGTTCGAATCCCATTTGGATTTCCAGGTCAAGTCTAGGTTTAATTTCATTTCGTTTGGTGGATATGAATTAGTACAGCTTATATCAAAAGCTGACTTTCGTTTGACAACAGTTAAAAAAAATTCTGGACATCTGTTTTGTCCTATTATTGAACTCTTCAGCAGTGCATGTCCATGACCCCACTGAGGATAGAACCCTGAACTTCTAGGTCTTGCTGCAAGTGCTTGACGTTTTGACCATTTAGTCGGCATCCAGTGATTTATGTATCAAATTTCAACCGACGTGCTATATTGCGCGAGGCCTAAAGATCCTTATTCACTTGGTATTGTTTGCTTGTATCTTGCCACTGGTGTTTAGGACTGCAATTAATCAGTCTGTTGTAGGCATATATGCATCGTGTGCGAACTGCCTCAATATTGCCTTAAATCACAAGCTTTATGAACAAAGATGGATAGTGGCTAGCAGTGAAATCCAGGACGCGCGTTTCGTCCTATTTGGGACTTGTCGGCTGGATGTTTGTGCACATATGCACGTATGCCAACAAGAGACTGATCAATTGCAGTCGTAAACAACAATGGGAAGATACAAGCGAACAATACCAAGTGAATGAAAACGTCACACCATTTCACAAGCAGGTGGCTATCAGGACTCAGTAGCTGAGTGAACAGCTCGTTGGTTTTTATGGCGAACGGTCTGTGTTGGAGTCCCGAATTGAACCACTCTGGAATGCAGGTGCATTGCCCCCAAATGCCCTGGTACGGCCGAGAGTGGGGAGAGCCCACTCCCCCATCTGGAAATGCTCTCATATGGCCGGCGAATATATAGCCTCTGCCAGGGAAGTCCTGCTCACTGCCCTCTCGTGGCGTGGGTGTTGTTTACGAAAGTGAGAGGACGGAAAGCGAATGTCCGGCGCTTTAACCGGGTCGGTGGACACGGAGGGTTTACCTAGGGGAGTTGAAAAACCCTGATTCCAAACCAATGGTGCACATGGACTTCAATATCCTGATGGAACGAATGACGAATGAATATGCTGCTGGTCAACGGCTACCATGGGACTGCATCTCCTTGCGACGCTCCACTGCCTTTTGGATCAGAGCTTTAGGTCAAAGGCTCGGGGTGTGGCCTCTTAAGAAAACGACCTGCTTCGGTTTGGGCACCCGGGCAGTATCACAGCCCACACACAAATAAATGAAATGATGAATTCTATTGACGATAACATTCTCGCTCACACTAGAAGCAAGACAATTTACACTATTATTGTTATTATCACCATTATTATCATTATTATTACTATTATTTACTACGTCACTTTTTCAATCCCTTTATTCTCAAATTGTGTATCCTTTCTTTCCAATTTATGCAGCAGCTCGCCCATGGTGGAAAATCTGTCCTATCTAAACGATCTTCAGTCACTGTCTGGTTGAAAGTGAATGCTCCCACCGAATATGAATACTGAAGCAGTCTTTCTGAAACCACGTACGCCGTTCAAGCTGGCTTCCTCCAACGTTCGCACACTAATGCATGTCAGACAACAGATAGGGCTGACTATGTCTTTGGAAGGTCTTAATGTTGATGTTTGTTGTCTATCAGAGACCCGTATTCAAGACTCTAGTGAAGTACTACAAATCCGCTCTCCATCTGTCACCTCGAAAAGCTTGTTCCACGTGCGCTTATCCGGGGACCCTGTGGCATGTTCGTCTGGTCTTGCTGGCGTTGGTGTCGCACTAAGCGCTAGGTCTGAGGCAGCACTAATCGATTGGATCCCCATTAACAGTCGGTTATGTGCTGTTGGGTTAGAAAGTTCCATCAAAGTGAGAAGAAATAGGCGTGAGAAACGGTGTCTTTTCGTCATCTCCGCCTATGCTCCGACAGATTGCAGCCCGGATGCAATCAACGATGAGTTTTACCATCAGTTAACAGTTCTTCTCCAGAAAGCGCGTTCAACAAATATTGTAGTACTAGCCGGAGACTTGAATGCTCAGGTCGAGCGTCTAGGCACAGAAGAGAGTCGTTTAGGTGGCCGATGGGGACTTGTTGGTCGCAGGACAGATAACGGGGACCGTTGGCTGCAACTGTGCACAGACCACAACCTGATTCTGGCCAGCATTAACTTCCGGCACAGTAAACTGGCTGCAACATCTATTGCAAGTAAGTATCGAGCGAAGCTAGCCTCTAGGCTAGCTATCACCCCACCGAAAAGTATAGATTAGCATTGGTTGCATCTTCACGACGCCATGAAAATGGCAAGTAAAGCCGCTTGCGGTTTCGTGAAACGTCCCGCTTACAAGCACTGGGTTTCTTCTGGCTCCTTACAACTGATGGAAGCCCGTCGGTCTACTCCGGGTGACCGTGAGTTTGTCCACAAACGAAGGCTGTTACGTAATGAAATCGGACAAAGCTTGCGTAAGGACCGGGAAGTCTGGTGGTCGGAGCGTGCTAATGAGATGGAAGCAGCAGCTGCATCTTAAAATTGCCGAAAGCTCTTCCAACTCATCCGAGCCACTGGCAGCAAGAAGTCTGGTGTGAGTGAAACAATCTACGAGGATGATGGGATGCCAATCACTAACATCTCTCAACGTCTTGGACGATGGGCGGAATTTTTCGAAGGGCAGTTTAATTGGCTCACGGTTTTCCACATGTATTGGTATAATTGAAAATATGTCATGCCATTTGACTGCTAATTGGTGTTCATGCGGGCGAAGATGAAGAGTACGTCCGCTTTTCCGATGTAGTGTTTTTCGCAGTCGGCACAATTTTTTACCGTAGTTGATGTTCTTCTTCTTCTTCTTCTTTTGCCTTTTCGTCCTTTGGTTTGCATAGGCTTGATTGTAGTGATTTTGTCGGTTTGTATGCTACACATATTCCGAAAGGCTTGAACTATGTCGTTGTAGTTTCTAATATGCCTTTTATATATAATAGGGTAATCCGTTTGTTGGTTTATGTATTTGAATTTGTTTCTGATTATGCGTTCGGCTGGTATTTTTTGATAAAGTTGATTAGGTAGCCGTTCTTTTAAAAGATCGTGTCCAGGTATTTTTCTGCATTTTTACGTGCTGTAATTGTATTGCAGTGTGTCCTCACCCTCTTGAACAAAGTTTGTACGCAGTTGATTTTGTGAGCTCTTGGGTTGTTTCTACTATAATTGAGAATTTGAACACTGCTACATGAAGTTTGTACTGATGATATCGTTCAGAAGAACGACGAAAGCTCCACGACCAAACCATCTAGCTTAAAGAACAAAACCCTATTGAAACTTATTATTTTCATTCAAATTAAAAATAATTACCTTGAAATATATGAAATATATGATCAGTTCGAGAAAGGTGAAGTCGTTAACAATTTTAAGTTCGGAACAGTTCGAGAAAAGGAACTTGATAATATTTCATTATAGGCTTCATATATTTATTGAAGAGTGTTCTATTTCTTGATCATAGTAGAAACACAAAGATATTTTAAGCAAAGATGGATAGTGGCTAGCAGTGGAATTCAGGACGCGCGTCTCGTTCTATTCGTGACTTGTCAGCTGGATGTACCTGCATCTCAGAGTTGTTGTTCACTCTGGGACTTGAACCAAGTACCTTTCACTTCAAGCGCCATCGCGTTATCCACTCGGCTAGTGAGTCCTGATAGCCGCTTGCTTGTGCAATGAGGTGAAGTTTCAATTTATTTAGTACTTTTTGTTTGAATCTTCCCACTGATGTTTAGGACTGCAACTGATCAGTCTCTAATTGGCATATGTGCATGCTGTGCGTCCTGGATACCACTGCTAGCCACTGTCCATCTTTGCTTACAATGCTTGTGAATTGAGGCAATATCAAGGCAAACATCAATAGGAAGATTCAAACAATTAATATTAAATGGACACAAAGATATCTTTTTTGGTATGCAATCACAGACCATTTATATGTAAATATGTGGAGTTGTTAAGATGTCTTTTTTTCTTCTTCTGTAGGCTGATATCAAACAGTGCGATCTCACAGATGATTTTAAAAGTATGTAGATTGGTTCACTCTTTTGTAATGTTATAGCGTACTAATTAACCTTTGATATTGTATCTTTATAATTTATCGATCACAAGTGTACATTTACTTTTTTATTACTATTTATACTTTGCTTTCTGTAATTCTTCAAATTGCATAAGTGATGAGGAAATCTTAATTGCAATGTAGTTTAGGAATTTTAATTTTAATGAGTTGTGGGTGATTTTTTCACTTATAAAGGTTTGTACAACTAAAGGGGTACTATCAGAAGGGGGTTTTGTGGAGATTTTAGTAATTTCATATAGTTGAGATCATGAGTCGATTGAAGCTAGACCACCATGGAAAACCTAGAAGCACTGGATAGTCATTACGTCTTATTGTGGGACTCCTCAACAGTGTGCATTTACAATCCCGCTTTGCGTGATTCGAACTCAGGACATTACCACCATTGGGTGTGGGCTCAATGGTCTATCGTTTAAGTGCTCTGGCGCGAGACTGGTAGGTCCTGGGTTCGAATCTCACGAGGCGGGATCGTGGGTACGCACAGCTGAAGAGTCTCACGATAAGACGAAATAGCCGTCCAGTGCTTCCATGTTTTCCCTGGTGGTCTAGCTTTCATTGACTCATGATGTCAGCTATATAAAGGGGTATAATTATCTGAAAATAACATTATATTTCTGAGTAATACTATATGAGCTTGTTCACCGTTAATGTATAGTACTAGATCAACTTTTCTAAGTTCTCATCTCGCTGAATTATCTGTATGGCCATCTCCTTTCTATCCATCTAGAAGTTTTCAAATAGTTTTCATATTGTCTGTGTATTCAATCTTCTATATCCACACAAGCTGTCATCATCTTAGTGTATTGTCTCGTTGAAATTTGCTATATGAATGTAAATATAATGTTGTCTGTTTTCTTCAATTTGTAACTTGATGTTGTATCATCCATCGTTTTAACAATGTAGATTAAAATATTAAAAATAAGTCAATCTTTTTTTAGAGAAAAGCGGTGAAATCTCAAAGTGTTTTGAAAATTCTCAACTTGTTTGTCAAGTACAAGATTTACTCAGTAAATACCTTAATTTAGAACAATATTATCTCCGTGTAACAATTATGAAGGTGAGTTGTTTTCTCTGCTACATGATGTCTGTTGTAAGTGTTTATTATAAATGACTACATTTTCATGTGAAGTATGTTTACAAAGATAATTGAGAAAATGCCCTAGATTTATGCTTCGTTTCCACTGAATTCATCTAGCTTTTCCCCCGTGGGACTATGAACCTTTGTCATTCATTAAGTCAATTAAACATCCCCACTTCAGTATTCAACAGCAGCTGTAATAAAAGTGTATGGCGGCATGTGGGTTTTAAGGAAACTTCTCTTTACAACTTACTCTGTGTGAATTAAAATATGTCTTGTTTCTAATAAACCTGGCATTGTTGAGGACATCGGATTTGACAACTATGTCTACTTTCTGTTTTGGCGCATTTGTAGACTGAATAGAGGATTTTACTACTAATATTTCAATTCGTCGTTCTTGATAGGCTTTAAATCACTTCTGCTTTCACAGCAGCAGCAATAACTACATTTGGTCAAATGAAGTAGATAATTTGTTTCTGATGTACTTGGATTTGTTCAAGTGGTGATAACATACTTTGGGATAGGAATCAATCTTAAACTACTAAAATATATACGAAATACAGTTTTGATCGCTAACTTTATTGTAAAATTTCTGCTAATGTTAACTAGAAAATTAATAGATGCCTTAATATTACATCATTCTGCTCAATCTCGAGATAAAAACATTGTAGTTGTCATTACTAACAGTTCGAACCCGTACTTTTTTCGCTTGTTCGTTAGTTTCACCCTTAATGGATGTACATCATTTCTAATCTGAATTTATTTCAATTATTTGTTTTGCAAGGCATTAAGTTCAGATGAAGTCGACAAATCTAGTAATGTATGGTGTTTTATTGACGATGTATTTTTCATCACCAAAAAAAGTCTTATGTTAGTTACAAATATTTTGTTGTGAATTATGTTAACTTCAATTTAGTAAGGTAATATAATTGTAATGACCCAGCTCTAATGATTTTCTCTAGGCGTTAAGGTCTTAGCAGTGTATTTCATATTTTCAGGAAATTCGGTTTTCTTAATTGACGGAAATTTCTGACTACTGCTTATACTCCTAATACTTCTACCACTATGGGATATGAATCGACAACTGCATCTCTCTGTGTTAATGTGGTACGTCAACTCGAACTGATGTACGTACGTACGTACGAAGTTCTACATTGTGACTGACTGATTGATGTAATTGATTACGAAGTATAAATGTGCCCATTCATTCAATGAACCACCCGTAGTATTATAGCTTCCTTATATGAATTTGACCTCTCTCTCTCTCTCTATATATATATATATATATATATATATATATATATGCGTCCAATGATACAGGAAATACGTACGAGCAGTCTTGGGTGCTATCCGGTCCATCCTACTGCCTAGCCCAGCCCGTTAAGTCAAGAACACAAATAACAGCCTCGGCAATATGAATCATTATTTACAAACATACTGAGTTTTTAAATGAACCAAAATAATCAATAAACTGATTATAACTCAAGAATCGTATGATAATAAATCAAAGATCAAAATAAAGCTAATGGTAAGAGAAATACGAATATGAATAGTTGAGTTACGTAATGATTGTACAGTATGAAATAGCATATTACATTGATCCATAAATAGACCTAAAAGTTATCATTCGTAATTCACCGAGGGATATAACAATAGTACATTGTTTTGTGAACTGTGGATTCTGAAAATCCATCACATTAGCTTTCACTATCCTTCAGTTGGTTATCCTATCTTTACATACACTCCAAGTATCATATGATTACCATCAGGTGCATGAAAGGATCATATTGAAAATTTATTGGAAATCTGACGTAAGACAAAAAGTTTTCTTTGCCAGTGTTAACCATCCTAAGTGTTTTTCATAAGATCATGTTGAAATATAGCATAATTCATCACTCTTACCAGCCATTAAATAATGCATCGATAGTTCCTGTTATATTATGATTAGCTACTAGTTCTTTATATTATTATGTTTCAATGGTCAAAGTTTAACTGCTAATGATTGTTGACATCTTCATTGCATCTGTTATCCGGTTGATTTGATTTTGTGAACATTGGAATTTTATATTTTGACTAGATTCCGTTTACTGTAATATAAGTCAGTTATTTACCAGTTTCTTATAAAATCATCTCTTCAGTATTCGGTTTATGCAAATTTCTAACACTTCAACAAAATCTTCTTTACAATATTTATTAGCATATTTATGTATGTAGTAGATAAACACAGGTATTATATATGCGCTGGAAATTACTATTATCATTAAGCGTATTGATTGTACCTTCTATTGCTATTATACCTTCTATAAAATTACCATAAGTTCAGTTTATTTGAAATTAGCAGTATAATACTGAAAACGTCTTGTCTGCCTTCGGATCTTGGGTTTGCTGCTTCCAGTCTTGTCTTCAAGGTAGCAGCAACGTTCGTGTTAAAGGAAGTTTATAATCGGTTCAATAATAAATATTCAATAAACTAAATATCTAATAAGTACGTAATACAAATATATGTAGTGATTCACTAGAGGATAGTTCTGGAAATTTAATATCCATCTAACAATAGTTTTTTGAGTGTTTAGTCAATCTTGAACCGATATATCGGTTTTTGGTAAAAATGTGTTTTTAGACATGTTTAACTGGTCTCATGAAGTTGGTTCCGATCACGAATTTGAATAAAGCCAGATGAACAATTAGGTTCGAATAGTATGGACCCAAATTTCCCATCTGCTGCTTACGACTATATATGTATTGAAATGCAATATTGATGTATGACAATGTGAAACAATTGTCATTGATGGGAAAGAATTAAAATGACTACGATTAATAAAAATAATAACTCTGTATATGTATATCTTTAACTAAACAGGTGTGAGGTCGTTTAAAAATGGAAATCAAAACATATGGGTGTGAGGGAGTAATTAAATGAAGTTCGGAAACAGAATAAAATGGATCGTGTGATAATTATAGTTGTGAAGAATTTACATAAAATGCAGATCACTTGAAAATAGATATAGAAGACTCATAACAATGCAGTGATGATTGTTTAGAAGTAGTTACGAGTATGAGGGCTAATATCACTTCCCGGCTGCCCACACCGTGGAAGGATATTTCTTGAGGGACCTGAAAATGAAGTCGGATTATTGTTGGTCTTAACGACCTGGTAGCGTGACCACATAGCCCAAGAGACAACTGCTTGAGATTGGTCACGCACGGTATTTTTGTGGGGGCTTTTTGACGTATTAGCTCCGTTCTTCAAAGGACCTGAACGCCGGAGACGGATATCCGTGGGATAAGGCGAGGTGTGCATTTTTACGGTCGACGTTTTCTAACCCCACACCTCCTTGTGGGAAGGCAGCATCGCTGTTATGCTGGTTGTTTGAAGGAAACACCTTACCGCTGTCACACCTCTGTACAGTCAGCAGAACGATTTCGGACGTTTAGTTTGATGCTTTTAGTCTTACCGCTCTTCAACCGACTAGTCTGACATGGTAGGATCTTGAGGAACGATTGTTTCAACTAGTATAGCTTGATTGGTTCATCACAATAGGCAAGCCCGACCACCACGTCAAGGTAGCAGCAACGGTCGGGTTATTTCAAGAGTGAGGATGAAGAGTTCACTTTTCTAGTTAAATTACAGTAATATGAACTTGCTCTCCCTTTTTTTAAGTAGATTCCTCATTACTTTCGTATCTTGAGCATGCTTAAAAATTTAGAATCAGTTTATGAAGCTTGACTGTACTGTACACTTAACTACAGGGATCCTTGAGATTGTCGTATCTAGTTGTTATTTACTGGGTGAAATGAATCAGAATCCTTCTCATCGACTGACCCAGGTGCGTTCACTCTTCGCCTTTAAACAACACTGTTACGAAATAAAATACTGCAACCATCCACGATCCTGCACTCGCGAGATTCGAACCCAGGACCCACTAGTCTCGGTTGAATGCTTTGGCGCGAGACTAGTAGGTTCTGGTTTCGGATCTCGCGAGTGCAAGATCGTATACGCGCCCTGCTAAGGAGTCCCATTATAGGACGAAACGGCCGTCCAGGTTTTTCATGGTGGTCTAGCTTCAATTGACTCATTATTTCAACTATGAAAAATGCCGAAATCTCAGCAAAACCCCTTGTGATTATAATTTCATTCCTTACAATTCCCATGTTTGCTTGTTGTCTCTATTGGATTAATTTGAAATGCTTTTTTCTATCACATTTAAGATGTGTATCACGGAATTAAAAGTTTCTATCTCAGATCAACTTCAAGCATTACTTGATTCTGCCTTCGAGCATCTTTCAACTAGTGTTATTCAAAGTGAAGTAAAAACATTGCTAAATGTTTTCAAGTCATTGAAATATAACTTACTTGAGGTAAGAGTGTGAAGCACTATTTTGTCCTATTTTTTTCCTGTAATCACCGTGATCTATTTATCCTTATATACTTCCTTTCCAAGTGAGGAAAAATAAAAGTTTCCTTTATCAATACAGTAAATTTATTATTACTAATGCTTAATGTGGTTTTTCATATCAGATTACAGTGGTTCGTACTGACTTGACTTAATGGTTGTTTTGGCTTATTTTTTACCCTTACATATGTAACACAACACCTTCAAGGTATTTCTAAAGCTTAGCTTGTCTAAGATTTGAGTAGTAAACTGTAATGGCTATTATCAAATAAATGCATATCGCTCATTTAGTGTTTGTTAAATTGGGATTAGTTGTTATGACGTTCAAACGTCATTAACTCACTATTGGATACTTGATTTCCAATCATAATTCAAGGGTCTGATACGACCTAGTTACCCAGACTGAGTTTTGTGGGTCGGAACTCAGAATCAGAACGTAATTGCTGAAAACCAAATCCTTTAATCAGTTAACTACCGCTCTAGACAACGTTCTTTTTATTTGTTCTTACATAATAGTTATCTTTTTTACTAGTACTTCGTGATAGTGTGGAATTTTGAATAGTAGAATACTTTGTCATGTGTTATTTTTTTACTACTCTACAAGTGTTTTGAAAGTCTTTAGACTGTTACGGTCTTGTAGCTTTGGTGTTTCGATCTTGAACATAGGTTATAGTTACTAAAGGAAATAATGGTTTTACTTACGTAGCCAACATATAACAGTGGTGTCGTCTACTTATATCCATATAAGTAGTATATGGTAATGTTTAGACATAGAATGTATTTTGGCAGAAGACTGATAAGGAAAGAACTGAAACGAAGGGCGATTGGTGGGAAAGTGCACAAACAATAAAATTAAAGAAGATGGATTGATATTTACAGAAGGAATAGTGAAGATTGAGACAATTGGTGGTTATTTTGCAAATTAAACTGCTTGCTATATGGTTATCAGAATTTAGTGAGACAGTCTGTAATTTGTGTCTAAATACATTCGATTATCCCCAACCGGTGTTTTGTTCACTACATTTGGTGTCACTGCCAACCAGAAGGGGAACGCCGCTGCGGGTGTGGAGTTGAGGTGCTGGTTGGGGCAGTCTGGTGCGGAGAGGTGTCGTCGAGTGTAGTGTTCTGGAGGGGAGTCGTTGGCTGTATCAGGTGTTCTGTTCACTACATAACTACTGTCATTGAGTTTCTAGTAGAATAGTACCGACTGAATATTTCCGTTTCTCTGCCTGGAAATCTTAATTCACCGTCTTTGACGTACAAATTCACTAGTCTTTAGCCTATTTACAAACATTTTTTCTTTGACAAGTGATGATAACCTGGCTTCAGTTTAATAAAATGGTATTAATTCTTTTCAGTTTGTAAATTTACTTCGTTTCAGGAAATTATATGTAGAAGAAAATCTGAACTAATGATGAAAATCGCTTCAATTCTAAAATTTTTATGGCGATTTTACAATAACTTGATAAATTTCTAACAGTTATGAGTTGAAAAGTGATGTAGATTCTTACCTAGTGAATATGAATGAGATTCCTATGGTTATGTACCAATGACGAGGCCTGTGATATTTATGCAGTTATTCCAAGTATATTACTTATGAGTACCTACCAATTTATCACACAATATTCCTGCTCGTGATTAATGTTGTGTGGTCTGATATACTACCTTGGCCATTTTTGTCATTTTCTGTATTATCTACTGAAAATATATTGATACTAATGTCATCAACTTGAATGTCAGTTTGTAACCCCTAACCCTAACCTAGGGACAGTTTCAACTCATATCACGATGACTGATCAAAAAGCTTATGTCACATGTACGATTCCTATAATGAAAAAAAATTGATGAGGATCTTTATTTAGAATTTCGATGACATGAATTTTATTACTTCTGACTCAATCATATCTATAATAATATTTATAATAATCTCGCGAGTGCGGGATCGTGGACGCGCACTGCTGAGGAGTCCCATTATAGGACGAAACGGCCGTCTAGTGCTTCCAGGTTTTTCATGGTGGTCTGGCTTCAATTGACTCATGATTTCAACTATGAAAATAACAATATTTATTTGGTGAAACCGTTTTTCATGATATTATTTCTTCTGTTTATTTTTTACTTTTATTTCAGGAGGATTTAGATCTTTTCGCTGCTAATGATAGATGGATTGAATCATGTATAGTTCATACAGAGGATTTTCTTAAACCATTTAGGGTATTAAAGTTTGATACTTTAGTTATTTTTTATAATCTTACTGTTTATGTAACTGTAGCTATATAATTTGTGAATACGCGAATTCATATAAATCGTTTTATTGTACATCTATTGTTTTTACAAGAATACTTGATGATGATAATAATAATAACGCTGGAAAAACGGATTATAACTAAACTATGTGACTGACTAACGTGCTCGTTGACCACATGATTGCTCCTTTGACAACTTGGAGTGAAACATAAATGTGCCTAGTACTACATTACAGCTGACTGACTCTCTTGACAACTATTTAATTTTTCCAAATACAGCTTTCATGATTTCATAAGTAGATTATTTTTTTGTGTTTTGTTTAATAAAGAGACATGTTTAGCACATTCGCATTGACTGAAGCTTTTATTTTGTTCTACCGTATTGCTCCAAAGCACTCATCTATGATACTAGATGAATTAAAGAATAGGATTTTCAGCACTTACGATATGGGCATCTTTTATAACCCGTAAACTCCATTTGTTACGTTTTGTGGTTTGTGCCCCGATTAATTTACGACGTGATGATTCCACCAATTGGAGAGCACTGAGTTATCGATTGGAACAATGACGCACGAAAGTCTTACGAGCAGTGTAGAGTACTTACCGGTCCTACTTTCTGCTTAGCCCAGCCATTTTTGTCCAGAACAACCTCTGCAATGTAAATCATTTATTTCAAACATACTGGGTTTATATACCAACCAGACAGACCACATCGTACCATAAAATAGAAAATAACATTTATACAAGATTCAGTCAAATGTGGCTGTGAATAAGAGATATAGTAATTGGTAGACAAGGCACAACTCAGGAATGATAAATCGCATAATAAAAGTTCATAGGTCAAAATAAAGCTCATAATAAAAGGAACATGAATATGAATAGTTTAGTTACTTAACAATTGTACAATAAAAAATACACGCATGGTATTGATCCAAAAGGTACCACCCATTATTCTTTTCGGGATATAACAGCAAAATATCTACCGAATTCATTCCATACACTTTTAGCTATCATCTTTAAGTTTATTGATTTTATAATTTCAGAGTTATCTTGATCATTCACTTTATAGTATGAAGTGATGTATATCTATATGTAAAATAGAGACCTTTGAAAGACTCAGTAGTTTTCAATGACTTTAAAGGATATGTACATAGTTCTTATTTTTTTGTCCCTTATAATTGATATCCAATATCTTCTAATCAGTACTACTTTTCGTGATCGTAGTTTTTTCCTGTATGATAAAAGTCATGACGGTGAATAATCAGCGGAGAAACCGTCATTGCCAGGACTCACTCAGGCCATCAAGCCTCTTGTCCTTTCCAAACTGAAACTGAATCTGTACATGCTTCCGAACAATTTTCGTATAGTAAAGGTTGGATGTTTTATTTAAAATGTACAATAATGAGCAACTATTTATTATTATTATCCAATAAACTGTTTGTTTCTTTTGTTTTTACCCTCATTATAGTCTGTCTTATCAACTGAGAATAACGATCGATTTGTATTGATTCTCATAAACGAAATTTTGCATCAACTTGATCAATTTATTGAAAGGAAATCATTCAGTACAGTAAGTTCATTTCTTGTTACTATGGAATATTTCCATTTTGATGTTCATTTATATCCTATTCCCTTTGTCTTTTTTCATATTGAATTCTATTCAATCTTTTTTCTTTTTATTCAAAATAGTTTGGAGCAATTCAATTAGAGAAAGAATATAAAAATTTGTTTGCCTATTTAACATCGATATCTTACAGTTCTTTGCGTGATTATTTCACCCGTAGTTTACAGATCTGTAGACTTTTAAATTTGGATCGAGTGAGTTCAAAATTATTTTCTCATCAGTTTAAAGATTTTAATTTTTATATTGAGAAAAATTCTAGATTACAAATGATCTTCTAAGTAAACTTATCTTGATTTTAAAGAAGTGTAGAACAAAATATTTGTTTGAATAAATCACCTGAGGTCGGTCACACACAACCTTTTTGGTTGGTAGTTTTTGTGTTAGCTCCATACTTGTTGGGACCTTACCGCCGGAGACGAATATCCGTGGGATAAGGTGAGGTATGCATGCTTAGGGTCGACCTTTTCCAACCCCACACCTCCTTGTGGGAAGGCAGCATCGCTGTTATGCTAGTTGTTTGAAGGAAACACCTTACTGCCGTCACAACTCTGTACAGCCAGCAGAACGATTTCGGACGTTTGGCTTGCTGCTTTTAATCTTATCGCTCTTCAACCGATCAGTCTGGCATGTTAGGATCTTGAGTGACAATTGTTCCAGCCAGTATAGCTTGATTGGTTCATCACAATAGGCAAGCCCGACCACCACGTCAAGGTGGCAGCAGCGGTCGGGAAAAGTGTATATTTTTTAAGGTTTGAGGTTAATCTCAGGTAGCCGATAAATATTTCAACTATTGTAATCTAACCAAGAAAAACATATCACAGTCTTTTATTAATGTTGAAAGCGTTAGTAAATTATAACTAGACCACCAGGGAAAATGTGGAAGCACTGAACGGCCGTTTCGTCACAATGTGGAACTGCACAGCAGTGCGCATCCACGACCTCGCCTCAAGAGATTCGAACCTAGGACCTATTAGTCTCGCGCGAGAGCACTTAACTGATAGACAATAAGACGAAACGGCCGTTCAGTGCTTCCAGGTTTTCCATGGTGCTCTAGCTTCAATTGACTTACGCTTTCAACTATGAAAATACTAAATCTCCACAAAACCCCTTCTGATGATGTTATTAATGTTGTGTAGTTTCCTGTTATTCTAAAACATCACTAACAACAAATAGAGCAGTTCGCCTTTTGTTTGTTATGCGTTTGTTTTCAATATGTTTGCGGTTTTCCAGGTTGAAGAAGTCCATTATTATTGGAATAGTTCTAGTTGGCGTCTTACTGCACACGAGGTCAGAAGTATTCTATCTCTAAGGTTAGTTTTAATATTATATACATATATAAGGAGGCATAATGACTTTCTATTTATCGAAAATCTTTTGTGTTAACTTATCAATTTCGATCATGTTCGATTTTGATCCTTTATGTATTGAAAAGCCATTATTGCAAAAGTTACTTCTTTGAGTTACTTAATGAATGCGAAGGAACTCACGTTAAAACAGATATCTTCAATCCATTTATTTGATTTTACGGGATCATTCTGTACTAAATTAGCTGATTTAATATAGTTGAATTCGTAAGTCAGTCAGCTACATCTTAAGACCAGGCACATATATACATCGGTCCAAGTTGCCATACCTCGTTAGCACAACAAGATGAACACCGGATTCATAGAAGTAGTTAATTAAGTGGTGGTAATATATAAAAGAAAGATTGTATATAAGGATATAGTACAGGAAGGAAGAACGTTATGAAGCAATTTTAATCTCAAGGTTGAAGAAAAAATAAAGAGTGTATACACCTACGCAATTGTGATCGATTCTGATCCATGTCACCTAGTATCTCCAACCATTGGTTCCGATAGTCACGCGGACCCCAACCAAGTAGTCTGCATCTACCAACATGGCTCAGACTAGAAGTTAGTGACTTCAAGCTCTGATATCACGTTTTGGTTTGACCGTCCCTAATTCTCTTTCAACCATCCCCAATACTACTCATCACAGCGCGTCGCGGTAATCGGTGTTCAGGCATACGTAACACGTGGCTCAACCATCTCAGTCGATGAAGATTCACAACCTCATCAACTGATTTACCATCATTCCCTAATACCCTGTGTCTAACCTCACTATTACTTACCCGGTTAGAGCAATATTTCTAAGACATCTGTGGTCAAATACTAGTAACTTACGAGTATCTTCTACTCTTAATGGCCATGTTTCACAGCTGTAAAGTAAAACAGAACGGACTGCTTCGCAGTATACTCGTACCTTAATTAATGGACGGACATCTTGTCTTCGCCATAGGTGACGTAAGTTGGCAAAAGCCAAACGAGCCTTTTCAATCCGTGCAGAGATTTCGTCAGACATCAACCCATTATGGCTGATCAGACTTCCAAGATAAGTGAAGTTGTCGACTACTTCACTCCCTATCTTTAGTTCGTTGAATTTGTGAAAGTAGGTTAATCAATCAACGTGGTACTGTATCTGTGTCTTTTAAAACAAACAGGGTGTTCGTTAAATACTTTTCTGGCACAATGACCCACTATCATTCGGTTTATGAAAATTCCAACCTATGACATAGCTCAATCAAATAGTTAGTAACTTCATGGACTGTTAAGAATTTTTTTTGAGCTTCTTAACCGTCTTCCAACCTGCTGCGATTCTGTTCACTATTAGATATCTGTGTAAGCATTGAATAAAGTTAGCGTCTTATTCATCGACTTACCACTCGCTTTTAGGACCTTACACTTAACTAAGGCAATATTGACTCTGGTTCTGACCTACGTTAACACCACACAGATCGCATCTGTGATGGAATGCGTGAAATCTATACGTGTCTAGTTTAAGAATCGGTTGCTTACATTATAAGCAAGTTTTGTTAATTTCTTCCATTAGCTTTTTCAGGTTTACTATTTTCTTCATTGCAATTTCACAACAACAATTGATAAAATATGTCTTCCTATAATAATTTAGGTTTCGAACTCAAGCTTTGAGCAAAATGACATTATGACCAAATAATCAGACCATTATTTCACGTTCATAGTTGAAAACATGAGTTTATTGAAGCTAGACTATCAAGGAAAACCTGGAAGCACTGGACAGCCGTTTCGTCCTATTTTGAGTCTCTTCAGCAGTTCGCATCCACGATCCCGCCTCGCGAGATTTTGCCTAGTCGTCGTTGTCGTCATTGATTCAGGGTTTTATTCAATGTTCATTATCGTTTTTTATTCTTTTAAAAAAGTACTTTTAAGATAAATTCATCAGTATATTAATTATATTTTAATATTTCTTCATTAAATCTATTTCACAGACGTGATTTCGCTGTCAATGAAATTCGATCACTTAAACTACAATGATCTCATCAGTTATCTTTTCTTCTTTTTTATTTTCTGAATGTAATATGTAACATATTGTTTTTTGTTTTTTCTAATTTTCTAATAAAATTTATGAGATCCCAACTGTTGTTGCTGTAGATTTCGAGGTTTCGGATGAATTATAGGTTTTCTTTCTGAGTCATGAATTCCTCGACTTTAACGACAAGATTGACTGCTATTCATATTAATATCATTCACTAATTTATTATCATAAAAAGCATATTTATTTTTATGAACTGGTGATGAACTTGGAAAATTTAGAAATACGTTAGTCGATAATACTTACGCCTGTTATTCATAATGGAGCATAGGCCGCCGACCAGCATTCTCCAACCCACTCTCTCCTGGGCCTTCCTTTCTAGTTCTATCCAATTTTTGTTCATTCTTCTCATGTCTGTCTGCATTTCTCGGCATAATGTTTTTTTTTGTTCTTCCTCTTCCCCGTTGGCCTTCAGGATTCCATGTGAGGGCTTGTCTTGTGACGCAGTTGGGTGGTTTCCTATAAGTGTGTCCTATCCACTTCCACCGCTTCTTCCTGATTTCTTCCTCCAATGGAATCTGGTTTGTTGTCTTCCACAGTAGGTTGTTGCTGATAGTGTCTGGCCGACGGATTCGAAGTATTTTGCGTAGACAAGTGTTAATAAACACCTGTATCTTCTGGATTATGACTTTCGTAGTTCTCCACGTCTCCGCCTCATACAGTAGAACTGTCTTGACATTTGTATTGAAAATTCTAAACTTGGTGTTGGTTGTTAATTGTTTTGATTTCCAGATATTCTTCAGTTGTAAATATGCTGCTCTTGCTTTGCCGATCCTCGCTCTCACATCGGGATCAGATCCACCATGTTCATCAATGATGATGCCCAGATATGTAAAGGGTTTTACATCCTCCAAGGCTTCTCCGTCAGATGTAACTCGATTGGTGCATGTTGTATTGTATCGGAGAGTTTTGCTTTTCCTTTTGTTTATAAGTGGATAATAACCAAAATACAAAAATTGCGAGTACGGTACATAACATTGGCTGGCCAAACAATGTCAACTCTCTTCATAGAAGCTGTTAAATGACTTCACCGTAACCATAAGCGAACCAGTTAATGGATTGTTAATTTTATCGAACATAAAACTGATTTATATGTGGAACGATCTGGTGATATTTCGAAATCCTCGTGACAGTGATGATATTAATTAAAGCAAGGAAAAATAGTTGAATTACTTTACGTTTAGCTAACTACTTTTCGGGGATTTTCCTTATATCCTTACTTTCTCTATGATGTCTATATGTACATAAATTTTTCGAAATACTAAAACAAGTTCAATCGGGCCAGTTTGGCTACAATACCTCACTTTTATTCCGACCATCGAAAGAACCGATTATCGTATATAACATTGATGTGGTAATTACGACTGATGTGTTTACGTAAGCTAAAGCGATTTAACGGTGTTTCATGAAATTCTAACTAACTTATGTTTACTACAGATTTACAGCTAAATCTTGCTGAAACTCAAGTATTTTGGTGGACTCACTCGACTTTGTATTATCAAATGACAGTTGCGAAATATGTATCCTTATTCATTCCAGTGTTTTATAAAATACGAGATGAAATTGGCTAGAAAATAAATGTCGATTCGCGTGAGTCAGTTTATGGTTGCATTTCCACATATATTCAGTTTGAGCAAAACAAAACGGTCCTTCGAATTGTAGACAGTCACTCTCGTTTACTTGATATTCCATATTTTATTGAAGGATCAGTAGTCGTTTTTTACAAAATATTTTAGATGTTTAGGTTTGTGAAATGTGTAGGCGATATTCTTGAATTATTGACTACATTGGTTTATTTTGAAATAAATTGGTAATTTCCCATTGTTAAGTCGTCACTGTTTGGGCTCAACTAGTTTGGTATTGATACAATCTTCATCAAGAAGGTTAAAAGATTGTACCAGAGTTTTTGGTACTGAATGAATTTAGATTTGATATACTATCGAACCCCGACCGAGTAGTCTAATAGTTAAGTGCTCTGTTCGACATATGTGACCAACCTGCAACGAAAATATTTTAGACCAATAAATTATGATGAGAGTTGATCAAATGTTCTCCAGGGCAGCACAAACATTGCTGTTCATTAGAGTAAAACCAGTTGAGGATCTAATTGAAAACAATACTGTTCGGTTATATGTTCTAATTTTCACTACAGGAATTTCTAATATTTTAATAAGGAATCTTACCAATAACGTTTAACATATATAAGGTCTGTACCAAAATAACCAAACTCATCACTACTCGCTTACTGATTTCACATCTGAAATGTTTCGATTGAATTTCCGTGTTCAAAACGATCAGCCATGCACAGAACATTACGAGAAAATCTAAGCGAATTAGACTCAAACCTTGACGTATTTAACGTGAAAGCTACTTCAACTCAGCTAAGAATCATACAAGTAAGAAAATCAATCATTGTTGTACCTCGAACTTTTTTACACCGGGAATGGCATGGTTATCGTCATACAACACGTAGTCGGTTTACTCACAGTCATGTGTCTATTAAATTTATTTATTTGAACAAAATTTGCTTCAAGGAGGCATCGATTATATGTGCGTCACGCTTTGTCATTCGATTTTTGTGAGGGCTAGAGTGCTGCCTGGGCGCCCAAGCTTAACTAGGTCGTTTTCTTAGGAGGCCACACCCGTATCCTTCGACCTTAAGGTCTGATCCACAAGGCAGTGAAGCAACGTCAGGAGATGCAGTCCCATGGTAGCCAATGACCAACGATTGGTTCATATTCCATTTTTTCCCTCAGGTTACTGGAGCCAATGTTCATCATTGGTTTGGAATCAGTGTTTTCAAACTCCCCTATGTGAACTTTCCGTGTCCACCAACCCGGTTAAAGCGCCGGGCATTCGCTTTTCGTCTTCTCAATTTTATAAATAACAGCAATGCCGCAAGAAGGCAGTGAATCTGACTTCCCCGACATAGGCTGTATACGCGTGACTGTGTGAGAGCATTTCGAGAGAGAGGGGTGGACTTTCCCCACTCTCAGCCGTTCCGGGGCATTTGGGGGCAATCCTTTCCAGTTGTTATACATGCTTTTGATATCTGCTTCCGAATCTCGACGCAATATGTTCTTCGGCCTTCCTCTTCCCACCATGATTCCATGTTGGCGCTTGTCATGTGATGTAGTTTGATGATTTCCATAATGTATGTCCTACAACGTCTTTTCGTAATTTGCTCCTCAGTTGGAAGCTGTTCTGTTCTCTCCCACAGTAGGTTATTGCTGATGGTATCTGGTGAACAGAAATTGAGTATCTTAATTTGACAATTATTTATAAATACTTGCACGTTTCTGATGATGGTTGTAGTAGTTCTGGAAGTTTCAGCTTCGTACAGTAGAACTGTGTTGGCGTTCGTGTTGAAGATTCTGACTTTGATAATGGCTTGCGGACAGTTGTTTTGAGTTCTATATGTTCTTTAATTTTGTGAATGCTGCCCTTGCCGTGCCAATCTTCGTCTTTACATCTGCATTAGATCCTCCACGTTCATCAATGATTGTTGTCCATTCCGACTTTGATATTCAGATCTCCCATTAGGATGATCAGATTTTTTCCTGAGCATATATATATATATATATATATATATATATATATACAAGAACAGGTTTCAGGTCATTTGGAGTTGGGATTCAAAAGCAAGGGGGTTAAATGAAGCAGTAATTACATGAGGTCCAGAAACAGATAAGATAGACTAGGTTAATTTTAAAGGTTGTGAAAACTAGAATTAGAAATTGATAAGGTGGGTTATGTGATAATTGAATAGAATTTGAAGAGTTTACATAAGTTAAGAGGATTAGGTGAATGAAAACCTTGTGAATGAAGGGATGATTTTGGTGTAATAAAATAAGAATTAGTCAAGCGAAGATCATATAACAAAATAAACACTAATAAAATGATAACAATAACAAAAAATAGTTTACCAAGGTAGTTGACTATTGTCTCTTTCTGGATACATTAGTCTTTTTATTGATGATGCTACGGAAAACCGAGGATAGGCCGTGGTTTTGTCTGCTAATATTTTTGAAAGCTTGTGTGTGTGTCAACACCATGCTTAGGTTAGATATATACGAAGCTATTACACTCTTTAGAGCCGTCAAGCCTCTCAGTCTAAAATTCTATAGAGTGTGTTCGGAAATGCGAACATGAACTCTTCTCTCTGTTCTTCCAATGCATATACCTTGAAAGTGTACGCAAATTGGTAAATGTAGTTGGAGGTAATAAGAAAATCTGCTTCTTATATCTGCTCTTCAAAAAAGAATTAACCACTGTAAAGCGCTAACCAGAATAAACAATTTAAACTCATTCTTCCGAATCGAAGCATCTCCATCCCGAAGAATTATCATGCATCATGATCAAAGCCGAAATCATTCGGAAGTTCGAACGACAGAACATGAATAATACTAAAAAAATAAACTCTGCCTGTAGCTCTTCGAGAGTTACTGCCGGCCCCAAGCCCGGGTAAAGGAGGAGAGTTGGGTATGGGGTTAGCGACCCTATCCCGTAGAAAAACTAACTCGCTAACAAAACGCTAACCAGAAATGCTAGTGAGCGGCCTATGCTCCTCGACGAGAGGTAACAGGCTTAAGTAAGTAAGTTATTCATACTATCTGAAACTATAGTAATCTGTTATATTTAACAAATCAAACATCAAAGTACTATATTCTATACACAAAGGATACATTTTACTAAATCAAATTAACTTTATAAGTTGATATAAATTTTGATCCGATCATAAGTTTTGATCTAAATTTCTATTTATTCACTAAGAACATGGAATGATGAGAAATTAATCATGAAATTAAAATTTTCAATTTAATAAACAATAGAGACTCAGAAAAAAAGTGCAAAAATTATTTAAAAAAAAAATCGAATCTGATTTCATTGTTCAGGCATTTTCTAACAAATTGCGCTTCATTTCTGTTCTTTCCTTACTGATCTGCCAAAATACATTTTATGCCTGAGCATCATCATATACTACTTATCTGGATATAATTAGACCACACCACAGCATTAATTCATTCATATTAAACACTGATTC